AATGCAGCATTGTAATGTACATGTAGGCCTACATGCTGTGGTTTCAAACTGCTGAACTCTGCCACACACAGTGCAGCCAGATGGCATTCAGTTCCATTTCAGCCAATGACTGCGTAGCGCTTGCTTCAACGTACTAGACAGCCCGCACTCATTTGTATATATTTCAATTAGCCTATATCAAGAGTGGCAAATAGGCCGGTAATCAAATACAACATCATCAGGCCAAAGACATTAGGTAGCCAGACCGAAACCGTTGGAAAATCCAACGTCGGATTCGCTTCAATCTTCGTTTTACGGGACCATTTAGTAACCACTCATCCGAAGCGCACACTAAGCGCACATGTATACATGTAATACCAGTACGTGCACATGTGCATCTGCGTGGGTACTTTCGTGTTTATGCAGTTGGCTGGCTCACGGTTACTGTTCAGACATGTTACAAACAGCCTCATTACACAAGCAGGTACGCTTTTAGTGGATAACAGTGTACACACAATTGAAGATGCCAATAGACCGTTAGCCAATGGAGGCCATATTTCATGCACATCATTTAAAAATCAAGGCTCTGCTGCTAGAAACTTGCTGGACTGTAATGTACAGTACATGTACATACATGTACATGTACAAGTTCATCAAGGTACAAACAATACATGTAGCTTGACTGCACCGGCTAACTCATGTGACCTAGAGTGGGTAACAAACATCAGCAAAGAAAGCATCCTCCCAAAGCACAAGGTGTCACAAGCGTCATTTACCAAAAAGAAAGCCGACAGTTGGCAAAGTACATGGACTCAGTCTACTGATTTGCTGAGCATTATGCCAAAAATCGGCATTATTTTGGGGAAACAACACCGATGACACACTTTGCTATGGAAGAGACGCCAAGCTTGTTGATATCTGATACCCACCAGGTCATGTGACTTAGCTGGCACAATCGGGTAACTGACAGGCAAATATAAACTCAGTATATACAATAAGTCTATGCATAATTGGTACAGGTAAACATATATAAATACTATTCATGGACATGTACACGCAGCTGCACATTTGGATGTCATAAGCCGGGGGGAAAAAAAGAGAGAAAAATCGCCACAATGAAACAAGATTTTTATTACGATGGTAGAATGTGTGATTCAAGTCAAAAGAGTAATGATGATTTAAATAATTTAATTCCAAAAATTTGGGGTCCATTTTTTTTCCGTGTCCCAGTCACATCTGACACATGATTTTGTAAGTTCAGAACACAGTTTCTTATGTCGAAGAGTGATGAATACATTTTCTTGCAAATTACCTGCCAGACAAATAGAAATAGTTTGAAATCAATTCCGGTGATATTTCCATGTCCAATAACAAACGTAAGACGTAACAGGGACACAAAAATGTCACACTTTTGGACCCCTAATTTCTAGAATTACTTAGTTCCATGATTTGAGGGTAAATTGCACCATACCAGTCCCCTTAAGAATTCAGAAAGGCTTGAAGAGCAATGAATAAACGGTACTTATTCCACAAATTTTTGTCCCCACAACTCACTCTAAATTTCCCAAAGAAAAGAAATTGTCCCCTTAACTCAACACAGCCAGGGCATACACAAACGTACAAATGTAGAGCATTTGAAAGGCATGCAACTTTCTTCCACTGGGACCTACATGTAAAACAATGGAAACCCTTTTGAGTGGAAATAAGTGCAGGTAGACGTTGCCCCTCCGTGAAATGGAAGAAACACAGTCAATGCATTAATTAGAGGAGCAAGTAGACAGGCCCACAGCCTTCAGTAAAGGAACAAGGTCGCCTATTTGAACTTAAAATCTCAGGTGCAGAAGGCCAGAGTCCAAAGGGAGGAAAAAAAAAATCTGTGAGGGGTTTCACTGAGTTTATGAGTGGCATTCCAGTAACATCAAGGGTGGCTTGCATGCCCTGGTTTTCCCAGGCACTTGGAATTGTCCACGGTCTATTGGCGCAATTAAAATGACAACTGGCGAGGATTTACAATTAATAAGTGAAGTAAAGTTTGTAGACTGTGACAATTTAAAATTCAGCAAGCTAGCACATTCTTGATACCATTACCAGTTAGTGTGTAATGACTGTCAATAACACGGAATGACTTTTCCCTCTGGGACAAATCGAATTTGTGCCCCCCCCCCATTTTTTCTATGCCATTTGTAGGTATGGTATTTCCATGTCGATTGTACACTTTAACTCAAATAACGATGCCACTGATGCACATGTAAAAAGTTGGGTAACTTACACGGAATCAATCTTGCTGGCTTGGGGTGAGGTTTGCATTTAACATTGACATCACTGAATTTTTCCAAGAGCATTTCTTAGAACAGGCTACATACGAGTATTTAAGCGAGACAGCGTGAACTTGGAATGTCTTTCAGTTCCACAAATTTGGCACTACCAAACACAATGCACACTGTACATATGCATGACCTCGTGGCACGGGCACCCATTAACACAGATACATGTACACATGTACAATGAAAAATATGCCATCCAGTATACATCTGAACAGTAAGTGTACAGTGTACATGTTGACGTCTCCTCAACGCAGTTCACTTTGACTGTGGCAAACATAACTTTACCTGTTGAGGGACTTCCTAGCTTTACTCTTACCATTTCGTCACAGTTGGGGTATTTTTATTCAGACATTTGGCACTATTCAGCATCAGCAGAATGGAATGTTTCCTTATAAATCTACTGCGTTGGGGAGAACAAGTGCCAAATAAAATGAACTGTCAACCTTGTGTAATGTACAACGCAGTGAGAAATCTGGTTGCATTTAACACAGGTTTTTCTCCCCCAAGCATTTGGCCTATTCATCACAACAATCACGCACTGTGAAAGGTCACCAAAAGATCCTCTTTCCACAGTAAAACCCTAAACACAGCAAAATTCTAGGTAATATGGCTAAATTGGCATTTTTAGGGCTTACTGTGTCCTCTCCCTGCACCTGTGTGATAGTGACACCAATACAGGTGCTGAGCTATGTACATGTAGAGCTTCTTTGGTATGTGTAGATATCACCAACAAAACCACAGTGCATACAATTCAAGGTAAAATCAGCCACTGAAGAAAAACCAAGAATGTACATCACAAAGGGTACATGCCAGTGGACAATCATTTAGACTGCGGTTAATGATGTGCTCAGACTACACAACTGCACAGTGTAGCAGACAGCGCCATCTCCATTCAGCACCATGATATTTACAAAACATCCCGCTGCTTAGGACCATATCAGACTAGTGGTCCAGCAGCTCACTACTGACCAGGATGTTCCGTTTGAAGAAAGAGTTCCACATAAGGACAACACTTGAGGCCCTGTGCCAAAACCTACAAGACTTGTCTGAAAAAAAAAACAAGTGTTTTCTAAGTATATGCTTCGGAATTTTCTTTGCTAAATTGGACTTATCAGGACGTTGCCACTTTCTGAAGGTTGTTATAACAATACATTGTAAGGGAAAATCAGTGTAGTCCGTATATCTTTCCCATTTAAATCTGATCATTTCAAGTGTTGATCAGGATGAACTACATATACTAGTAAAATTCATTTTGTTGCAATTTTTTAACCTTGAATTTATTCATTTTTATCAATTTCTGTAATGATCTACATTTTGGAGATACGTGTAATGAACAGTTTAACCCTAACCCTACATAATACTACAAATTACTACTTGTAGTAAAATGTAGTAATCAGCGCTGTCGCTTGTAAGAGGACATGACTTTATTGTTCTGTGAAGCCATAAGATACAATAGAAAAGACAATGTGCCATACAGTGCTGTGGCACTATGAATGCATGGCTTTATTGTTCTCTGTACGAGTAACAATGGAAGTAACCAAGCCAGAAGTAGTAATCTGTAGCGCTAGGTCCTTCAGGCTCAGACTATTACTTAGTATTTTGTAGTACTGTGTAGTGTAAGCCAAGGTTAGGGTTAAAGAAAAAGTTGGCTTCGGATGTAACACTTATTTCCGTTATTCAAAGATTTCCATTTGGGAATGTTCGAGAGGATGGCACTATTGAGGCTTACTCACAAGAATACTCAACATGTGCCCAAGGATATCCTGTATACATGTGCACTGCACCAAGTATGCCCTATAACCATTTTCAACTGAATGGGCACAAACCCAGGGAATCTGTGCAAGCGAAACATAAGGCTAAGAAAGGGTATGTGTACTTGGCAGCGATGGTGCTCAAATTTCCCCACTGGGCATACAAGAATTTCCAAACATTTTGTTTTCAGCTCTTTACTTTCTGGGAAGAGTGACAAAATTGTGGCTCAGTTTTTGCACATGGGAGAGTCATCTCCCTTTGTTCAAACTAAAATTTACAACGTTATTGTCACCACTGCACATAACAAAGTGCTAGGTCTACTTGTACTAAAAAAAAGTTAACAATAACCATGATAACAGGTTCAGTTTTGTTTTTCCTTTACACAGTTTTCAAACAATAATTGACTGGATGGTATGTAGGCCTACATGGACCCTTCACTTAGGTCATGTCAGTACTCAGTAGTGCACTTGCATTTAGTAAAATCAAACATTCCACTGGCACCTGTACCTGTATGACTTGGCAAGATAAAGATTGACCATCCGTGGCCATGCTGACAACAGATTGCATTCAACTTCAACATGTTCAGAGTTGAGTGTTAATTAGGGCCTACATGTGAACTGATTCCATCAAAATTAAACTCCTTACTAAATGCATACTAGCATCATAACCAAATTCCTAACCATGTTAACGGCTACCATGGCAAACAAGACGACACATCAGCATGAAATTGCATTGATATGCATGAGGAACAAGACGCTGACTACATAGGAATCCGGCTACTATACTCATTCCACGTAACAGCAGCACTGTACTGGTACGTTACGTACCCGCATCCGGAGAGGGACTGTTGTGCGTTGTTTGGAGGTCAAGAACAGATGGAGATTGCGTCAGATTCCTTCCAGCAATCTTCACCGTGTCTAGAATAATCTAATAATTCCAACTCACCTGTCTGTGCAGCACAAACTGAGGCTAGAAATAGGGCCAATCCGAGTGAAATTAACGTGCCCATTTTCGGTTGCAAGGCAAGTACCGTGCTGATGCTGTCTGCTCGATCGATTGCTAGTGTAGGCTGGTTCCCTCTACATATGCGCTATGCTCGCGCTCGTGGGACATTCACTTTGCGTAAGGTGTCATTAACGAGGCGGCAGTCAGATTGTTGTATGCGTGCGCGACTCGTGCCTCTAGTCACGTGATTAAATTAATTTTGGAGGCACACTTGAAATTTCCTTGCCCTTATTAAACGGGGACGGCATGGCTGACCACAAAGGAAGGAATAGATTTTAGGCTACTAACTTTTTGCTGCACTGTTTCTGTAGGTCACGTTGAACCTTCAATAGTTCGAAATTTGAGACGATATTTTTGGGATCTTTAAACTGTTGATTCAATGTTGCACAATATTTTACTGTTGTCCAAAGTCGGAGCCTCTCCATTTTTGTTAAATTTAGTTTGGGCAGTCCTGCAGGCTTTTATTTAACATGCGCGTCGGGACCAACTTAAACTTTATGTTTCAGTTTTTGTTACTTCCAGTCTCTCTAGACCGGACCAACCCTAGCCTATTGTAGTTTGTGATAATTTTTCATTGTTGCGACGTTAATTTTTGTAATGTAATTAGAAACTTGAATCTCAAAATATCAATCCATCAATCCAACAGACAATCAATAGGAGTTTTTTTTAACATTAGAGCCAACGTCACGGGGGGGGGGTGTCTGGGGGACAGGGGCAACTTTTGTGAACTAGCCCTGAAAAACTTCCCATGCAAACCATCCTCGAAACGCTTTTGATCTTTAAATTTGTGTTTTTAATTGCTCGTGCTTCTGCCATTTTTTTTTCTGTTTGCACTGACAGTTTACTCAGAAAATTCCTTCAGTCCTCATTCGCCCACTCCTAACCTGGGGTGGGGTAGGTGGGGTGGGGTCAATTGGTTAAGGTTTGCTTTCCAATCATGGGTTTGGAGGTTCGAATCCAGCTGCTGGCAGTATGTTGTGGCCCTTGGCAAGCCACGTCATCTCTGCTTGTCTCTCTCTCCCCCAGGATTATATATGGGTACCAGCATTCGCTGGGGGGCAAGCTGTGTTGGACCATGGAGGAAGGAGGGGATTGGACTGGCATCCCATCTGGGGGTAGCGAAAATATTCTCAGTCGTTTCATGCCAAGGAATTTAAGGAAACCAGAGATAAACACCAGCCCGATGAGCCAAATTGACTCGGGCCAGACTTGCTAACCTGGGTAGATGTATTTTGTAAGAAAATGAAGGAAATGCAGCTGAAAACATCTTTTAGTAACGGGAAAGTACTAAAGGCGGAATCTACTGTTACCCTTTTTTCTCACTCTCTCAAAATATGCTGGACTGGTGGCTGGGCCGGCCACGGACGTCCGCAACAGCGCCCTCCTTTGATGAAACAGAGGTGGCGAAAATGTGAAACCAATTTTGTTTTACAACCGAGTAGATGAGGGAATAAAACATTAAAGGGGTATGCACGCTGCTTGTTACATTCAAGCTTAAATTAGTAATTTTTTCAAGGAAGATGGATACTTCTTAAAAGTACGAAGAAAAAGCTTGTACCGGTGAAGACAAAATTCTAGTGTCACTTTCATCTTAAGAGACCATCCTGGGGATGGAAAAACACCCTTACCCCTTCAATACATACAGTAAGATTTGTCGGACAGATGAGTTTGCCTCATCATGCTATTTTATGCGAGCACATGCCCAGTTTCCATTGTTAGTGGGGAGCAAAGGGCTGAGATGTATTTCAAAGTTTTTGTAAATTAATTTTGGAACAATAAAGAAAGAAAAAAATGACAGGTTGGTGAGCACCCCCATTGCCTAGGCAGATTGCATAAAGAGGGTATTTAATAAATGAAAATCCTTTGTTCCTCACCAAACAAAAGAAAAAAGTTGAAAATCAAGTTTCTACTTAAAAACTTCCATGAATATGAAATTCTTTATCATGGATTTTATTTGGTAATTGCATTTTTACAAAATTGACATTAAAAAAAATCTGAACATCTTCTGAGTTGTAATACCAACAAGACTTTGGAGTTGGTATAATATTAATGGATGTTTAATACTCATATTATTTACTAGTGGTGGGTCAGGAAGGGGGCGGGGCCAGGTCTCCACCTCACCCCTGAAAAATTGTTACTGTTTAAATATAATGACAGACTGAAGTTTTTAGTATTTCCATTTTTCCCTCAAGGAGCCTCAAAAATCCCTTAATGCTTAGCCTCCCCCTTCAGGAAAGGCCATTACGTTTACTAGCCAAAGAATTTGCCCCCCCCCTAAAAAAATGGACCCTATCCAAAGAATTTTTCTTGATCCAACCTGCTGGGTATGAATTGCTTTTTTTAAAGTTAATTGTTAAATCTAGACAGCCCCTTTAAATAAAGAAGTACCTGACATGAACTACACGATTGTTTTGTAAAATTCTCCAAACAGAAATTAAATGCTGGCGACAACAACGCTCTCAGGTTGCCGGTCGCGAAGAAGTTACGTCCCCGATGTTCTTAATCTTCAACGACAAATTACTCGTTTTCATGGAACAACATAATTGGCTAGGTGCACCCTGCTGGTGGTAAATGGACATGGATAGAAATTCAGAGGAACAGAAAGCGGACTTCCCGGAGAAATTTTGCATCAGTCACTCGGAGTCCAGCGGCGGTTCGGAGCGGGGCAGTTCGGTGTCCTCCTCGTCTGCCGACGGGGATGATCACACGCACTGCGATTCCAACAGCACGAGCGAAGAAGGTCGATTGAGGAGGCTTTTCCACACGTGTGATAGTGATGGGGATGGCTTCATAGACGGGTAGGTATTGACGAAATGGCCTGTTTACTTAGAAAGAAACCAACAATTGAAAAAAATTGATATGCCAAGACATGATATGCCCAAAGTGATCCCACAAGCATGACAAATAAGGGCTGGTTCATACTCACTGCATTTGCACACACGCAGTGCGTAATGTGAACACCACATTTGACGTTCATACTTTCATGTTTTCTAAAGTCTCAGCTGTGTGTGCGTATCCGACAAAAGTTAAATTTTTAAAATTTGTACGAATATGCAAAAATTTGGTGCGTACCCACTATCCATGATTTTCACAAACTGCGTGCAAGGGCGTGTATTTTCATTACACAGTGTGCTTTCGTTCACGCGCTGCAGACACCTCAAAATAGACCTTCGCGCTGCGTACACATTGAATACGCAGCGAGTATGAACCGGCCTTAAGTGTTAATGATCTCTAGAATTTTGGGATAGAGGATTGTTCCGGAAAGAGGCTCACATCTGAGCATCACTTGACACCCGATGCACAAACCCTGCGAGATTAGTGTGGAAAATTTCAGTGTTTTCAGAGTAAATGCTTTTCCCTTCTAAATGTGGCATTTTAGGACATTTTGTGTCTAATGGCTAACAGTCCTCAATCCTTCACCTGGTTGTTTTTTTTGTTTTTTTTTTTTGGTTAAATCTAACGTCCATGACAGTATAGTCACCAGGTCCCTAATTTCTCCATCTGTTGTCAAATCTGACATGTCAAATCAGTACATGTCAGTAGCAAAATAAGGGACCTGGCAACTATACCGTCATGGACATTAATTTGGTTCTAATTTTAGTTATTCATTTCTTTAGTTTGTTTGTAGGAGTGTTTCTCTGATGTTCCTTTCACTTCTAAACATTGCATCTCAAAAACACCCAACTAGTCACACAGTACTCCCTTCCAACAAAACAGCTTTTCATGTACATTTGCATTATTGTTGAGCCAGTGGGCAGACTGAATAGAGAAACCCCACAAGAGCTCTGAGGCAGAGCCAAGTCTGTCTGTCCCCCACACTGAGTCACTTTTCTTGAAGTATTCCCTTAGCCTTTTGTGTTGGAACCGTGGGTAGACTTCCTTTTGACTTCCTTTCATCAATAAATTTCACGCCAAACTGATGCGATACTTGTAGATTCTGGACCAAGTAGTGTATTTCTGGACATCATTCATGTACATTTACTCAGTCATTTGGGTCTGGAAGTGGAGATTTGCCCGCCCATTCTGGGTGGGCGCTCAGTAAGATGCGTCCACACTTTGTCGTTTCAGCACACACGACACCTCTGAATTGTTGAATCCCAAACAAGCATGAACGACTGCTAAATACAAGACTTACAGTAGGACATAGTAGCTGCTTACAGGCTGTCAAAGAGGTTCTCAGAGGTATACCCCGAGCTGTACATGTAGACGCTGAGAGATAAGGCCCAGGGTCAGGCTTCATAATCATGGAGATCCTACTGGTCAATATGGGGTATAGTTGATAATGTCATTCTGACCACTCTGTCAGATCAGGACAGCCCAGATGTGTCTTCTTTGGACAAAGGATGGATGGTCAGGAATCAGGATGCCATCCAGGCATTGAATTTCACGTGGGCAGAGTAATACACGGTATTACTATGAATGGTTTTGAAAATTGGGTTATTCTAGAAAAGCCAGCTGCCAGGAGTTTGTGTGTTACGATAAACATTAAGCCGTGTGTGCATGCACCGCAATCTGTCTATGGGTATCCATAGGTGTAACCACAAGAACTGAGCTATGAAATCTGTTTCCATAAATCCATAAATAGACTGGCGTTTCTAAAATTGGTTCTATACCCTGACAGCCTTCAGTGAGAAATACTAGTAAATATGTACATGTATCTTTAGATGCATACTGTACCATCGGCCTACCATGCACATTGCTGATATCTTTGGCAAACTTTATGGCATTGTAAAGAACAGTGATGATGACTAAATTATAAATTATATTGAAATCCCGTACACAAAGCATATGCAAACAAGACCCAGTGGCATTGTGCACGGTAGACAAATATCCCGTACAGACTTCTTGTTCACAAATTTTTGTCGGTTACATACATTCATGAGTAAACCAAATTTTGTAACAGGTACCGGTATACTGTCCACATTATTGATTAGTGCTCACTCTGTCAGAAATGAAATTTTGAATTTGGAAATCAGGTTTCATCATATTGGTGAGTTGTTGGCTCGTTGCTAAATGTGAAAGTTACTCAAAAATTACAGAGGACGAAATACATTGTTGCAAATTTGTCAGGATATTGCATCGTAGCCCTTGGCCAAGTGGGTATTCATGACTACCACGTATTCCCACCCTGGAAATTATGAACAAAATTGATTTCCTTCCCCCCCCCCACTGTAGTGACAAAAGCAGGCCGAGCCGCACTTCAAATGTTGCCAGGGCACAGGCGAAACTATATAGTCTGGTGCTTTAGGCCTGTAGCAATTTACGCTACACTTGTACGCGAAGACTAGGGAAATTGGAGCTAGAAAACCTTGTTGATCTTGACAAGGCTGCTGACATGCGATACAGTGATTGGACCCCGCTTTGGGGGAGGTTCGTATTTTTGGCAATGACATGCGACGTTCGGCCAGGAAAAAAATTTGCATATTTCAACCTCCGGCGAAAATGCATAGTGTACATATAAGGACTTGTTACGTGCGGGAGGTGCCAACATGATAGAATTATTATACTTGGGCCCCCCCCCAAAAAAAATAGGAATATAAGACAAAATGTATCGGTAATGTAAATTCAGGCATGCACCTGTTTCTCGGATCAGCTGATTTCCTTGTTTATCACTTCACACTTATGCCATTAATAATTGAAAACACTGTACAAAGTCATGTAAAGATTGGACATTCCTCATTTGTTCTGTCAATGCCCAAGTTGCATGCCTGTAACTTGTAATTTGTTATTTAAAATTACAATCAAAACAGTGCCATTCATTTAAGTCAGTCATACATGTAAGTCAGTTCTTAGCTCTTGCATAGCTTTTCCCTGACAGTGTGCATGTAAAGTGAGTGTACAGGAAATTGTGCGCAAGGTCATGTACATTGTAGCACACAGGAGTTGCCTACCATCATGGAAACTTATAACCCCTAAATCAGTCAGTCAGTCCATCAGCCAATTCCGCCAGTCAGCTAGATCACTCCGTGGTCAATCAATCAGTCAATTTCAATTTTACAGCTCTACTAATCAATCAAGCAGTTTAATTTGTCAATCAGCCATTAATTAGGATATTGTTGTTTGCAAGCTCATGTAGCACACAGCAGTTTCCCCTGTTGTAGAAACACCACATAACCCCTAAATCAGTCAGTCTGTCCATCAGCCAATTCTGCCAGTCAGCTAGATCACTTAATGACTCTGTGGTCAATGAATCAGTCAATTTCAATTTTACAGCACCTGCTAATCAATCAAGCAGTTTAATTTGTCAATCAATCATTATCTAGCGCTGTACTGTAGAGCCAGTTTCAGCAGAGTTGTTTCTCAATCTAAACTCTGATAACTGTGGCAACAAAAGGTTCCCGCATTCCACTGCACAAACCAGCTTGAGTCTGCCCCAACACTTGGAAGTCTGAGAGGCCTGTCTGTCCGTCAAAGCTGTCTTTCCTCAGTTGTTGACACAAAGCTCTCATTAGACCTGACCCAGCACAGGCCTCCACAGCATCCCCTGTTGGAAACAAACAGAGCAGGGAGCCATGATGTACATGTAGAGTACCAAAGTGACTGCATCGCGCGCACAGTGCTGTGCGTGAAAGGCATGAGCGAGAGAATCAGCGCATGAACCATCACGCGCCAGCGCTCCATTCATTGGTACAGCACTTCCTGGTTCTAAATGATGTCACACTTCGGTACTCCATAGATGTTGGTTTAAATCCATTTTGATGTATCAATATCGGCAGGCATTTGCTTTGGGGGGGATGGCTAACCATAATGCATAGTGATGGGTTAAAACCAAGTACATACAGTGTACATGAGGTCCCTTTAAATGAAGGCTTAGGTGATTCCAGAAATTAGGGGTTCAAAAGTGCAACATTTTCTTGTCCCTGTTACATCTGACCGTTGTCATTTGACATTGAAATGTCACCGGAATTGTTTTCAAATTATTACTATTTGTTTGGCAGGTAATTTGCATTAATTCATCACTCTCGGAAAATGTGCTCTGAACTTACAAAATCATGCGTCAGATGTAACAGGGACTCAAAAAAAAATGGCCCCCTAATTTCTGGAATTACGCGCATAGGAATCGGTCCCCAATTATGCTCCATGTAAATAATCACTTTGCCAATAGTGGTCAAGTTCGATTTACATGTCATTAAAGTCAGCTGCCAACTAAAATAACTCACGTCGTAAGCAAGCCTTGGTTTGAGAAATAGCACAGTACCAGAATTCTCTCTTCCCCGTGGATTAGGAGGAGAGGGGTGACAAAAGACTCTTTTTTTTTAGAATTGGATAAAGTTCAGTGCAACCTTCGAAAAATGCCTCAAAAGTTTCTTTAAAAATTCTGTCCTCGAAACATGCATACCAGTATGTACAATGCTTTATTTACAAAGCGACATTCAGCCACTGGGAGTTTGTGCAATGTACGTGTACATTTGTATGCTTGTTGGAATGAAAACGTGCACGAGTACAGTGAGTTGTTTTCGATGGACATGGAAAGCACACATGCTTATTCAACTGACAACAAAATGTCACGCTCTGGCCAGACACTTATGATTTACATGTATTCGGTTGGGTCATACTTGTATGGTGTCGCTATTAAACTGTGAGTTATTGGATGCCCTAACATGCTGTAGCAACATGAATGGCTTTCCCATCCGAATGACATTCAGCATCCTGCTGTCAAATGGGGATTGGCAGTTTATTGATGCACGGCTCGTCAACATTTTCTGTCCCAGATGGAAGAAACGATGATGGAAAAGGAGCATGTATACGTAAGCCTGTGCTTCACCTTATTAGGAAGGAGGCAGTGAAAAGATTCAGCCGTTGCCGCAGACTGCACTGATGTGAATGGACAACGAAAAGGAGAAACAAAAAGTTCCTTGATTATGGCTTTTCTTTGTTCTAACATATGGGAGGGATATCCAAGCATGTCTGGGTGTGAAGGGATTGCAGTCTAGTCTGAGTTCCTCACTCAAACACCCTGGGGAGTCAAGCTCCAGACCCCTACAGAACCTCGCCCACAAAATTACCATTCACCCTGGACGAGCCAGGACTGTACACGTATGGTACACGAACCAACCGTCGGTACATGTATCTAGTCTTATGTGGATGGGTTGTAGCTCAGTACAGGATGTGGTGCACTTGCCGACAACAGCACGCCCCAATACCAACACATTACAATATCAAGAGAAACCCATCTCTTCTGTGAACATTAGCAATCAAGTTCGATCGTTTTTTCCCCCTCATGTTTGAAACATTTACACACGTGAGTTAAATATTGAAATGGAATGGATGGGAATGTGTTTGCTGTGCCTCAGAAATTGCGTGCCAGTGCGCAATAACAGACCCCATCAGAAAGTGCAGAAGACCAGACTGCATATGAGTGTTGAATTCCTCCTAATAGCTGTTTATTTGCCCAACCCTGACTTGAATTTTTTTTTTAACAAGTTAAACAGACTTGTCCCATTACTGCCTGGGAGAAAAAAAAAAAACAAATTGATGAATGGGGAGCACACATACCGAGCAGCCAAGTGCATGCAGACAGGCAAAGCATCCATGGTGTCATCAATCACACCGGACCGGCCTTCAGACCTTGGGATCAAAAAACAACACCCATCAAGTGCAATTAGTTCTCATTTGAGGTGGAAGCGTCTGGCCACGCTTTCAATGTTACACGCACACAGTGCATTGCAGAGCAGAGCAGTGCTCTCAGGTCATTCTATAAATTTGGAGTCCAACTTGTGACATTTTTCCGTGCCTGTTGCCTCTGACGTGTATACCATCTGACAAGTTTGACAAGGGAAGTATCACTGAAATTGATTTCAAAGTATATTTTTATTTGTTTGGCAGGTAATTTGCAGTACTCGTTCAGTCTTGGAAATTAAACAATGAGTTCTGAAAATCAAATAAAATCAAATTTAAAATCAAATGCCAGATGCAACATGGACAGGAAAAAATTGGACCCCAAATTTATAGAATGACCCTTTCGTGACTACTGTCATTAAATTGATCTTTATGAGTGGAATGGTCACCAGTCCATATGGCAGTGCACAGTCTTAAAATGGTCTTGGGTTGTGAGAAAAAAACAACTTGACTCCCTCCCCTCAAATTTGATAAAGTTTAATACTCGTAGCAATGGGCAATGTTTAACATGCAATTAGCTTAGAGATGGTTTCTCTGGCTGTAGCTGTCAGGACACTGCTGATAATACCCGACAAATCAACTCGGAGGCTTCTTTAGGGTCATCCGCACTTGTGTAGAAAAGTGGACATGGTGACAATTGCATTGGCTGAGTCTCTGTACATTGGCCCTGTCCATGAACCATAGAGGGCACCACACAAACGAAAGAAGAAGTACTTGTACAGGTATACATGTACCGTACCTGTACAAGAAAAGACACTGCATCGTATCTGTGACATTCCAGTTTCCACCTCTGAGGGAATGCATGGTGTTTTCCAATGATCCTGATGTCTCATGTGGTTTAGTCATTTATCTGAAAACCCGAAACCTGATTTGGACAAATCCAGTCAGTAATAATGTAGTTTCCATAGAGTACAGTCCCTCTGTGTATGTTCCAGCTCTGTGTAATGCAGCCCTGCGGCCAATACATTAAATTGTACCTCGAGGTGTTTGCCCCTAATTTAACAGGGGTTAAGCTACCCAGTACGCCCGAGGAAGGAAAGCGGTGGATGCGAGGCCTGAACTGAAAATGACGGTCATGCACTGCACAGATTCATGTACAAAAGAGCATGTGAGTAATACCTGTGCAGCCTACCTGATCACATTGTTAATCCAGCCTAAATCCTGTCAGTAACTCTGGTCCCCCCGCCCCCCAAAACCCTCTGTACATGTATTGCGTAAGTTACTTGATGGATGTCAGATGTACAAGTACATTGTACAATGAAATCCAATCACGAGAAATGCCAGAATCTTAAACAGTGGCTCATCAGCGGTATGTGATCAACAGAACAAAGATCGCCGGGCTCCTGCACTTTTTACTGTCAAATGAAATCCAATCTTCTTTAAGTTCATTTTTGGAACAGGAAACACAGCTGCTGCTGTTCTTGCTCCTGTTTCTCCATCTGGTCAGAAGGGAGTTTGAAACTCAGTGATTTATCCATTCTTCACCCTCCCCCCCCCAACACAAGTGGGATCTTATTGATCGTTGGAACTGCTCATCAATGGGACGCATAATAGACGGTGACAAACGAGTGAGAGAATAGCGCGGAATTGATCTCTCTTCGCTCTCCGGTGGCCATTAGGCTGGCTGTAATTGGCTCATTAGCAGAGGAGAACATGTGCCTGCAAGATGTTGGGACAGAGAAAAAAAAAAAGGAAACCAAACTAAACAAGAAATCGGTGTTACATTTTGATATGTGGAGCACGGCCGGTCGTTTGTCTTGAGGGACAGTCCAGGAGTTGACATGGCTCAGATGTGAATGGAGATGCTGGAAATTAACCGACCCTTGAATAAGTTGTCGGTTTTTTTTTTCATCTCTGAGACAAAAGTGTTTTCCTCTGACAGGATCTCTGTCAATTCTGCGATAGCTTATTTTTGAGTAGCTCCATGTAATATTCCATGCGGATGTTTGCATTGACTCTGAGTCATGCCTGTCATGCTTTGTATGTTACCCATGGAAAATATGTTTAAATTGCAGCAGTCCAGACGTTTGCTCGTACATGTACCGGTCTGTAAACTGGCCTAGACCAACCAATCTTCTCTCTCCTCCTTACCCATAGTAAATACCCATTTTCTTCACTGTGGGCCACCCCCAGACTGAATACATGTATACATAGTGGCCGAAACCATGGCGCAACTCTCTCTGTCAGGAGTCTGACACTTGTTTGGATTTTAAGCCCCAGGACAAGCCCAACAAGTCCGGTGTGAACTATGTAGTAGGGGCCACTCTGCCAATTACGCTCCTGGTGATGGACGAGAAGGCTAGGGGTGACTGGCAGACACCCAGAAATCTGGGTCAAGTGAGATGTTGACACTCAGAATCTAGTGACCACAATGCTAGATCATCCAGGTCATGGAGTACCCTGTGTAGAATTTCCTTAATGCTGTTTGTGCCGTTGTCTGGTCTGTTGTTAGTTCGTTTAGCTCTACTGACTTTACCATGTGGGACATTAGGAAGGACATTTTTGAAGGAATTAAATGTCAAAATGTTGTTAGTAAATTCTTTTTAATCAGTAAAAATATAAAATAGTGAACTAAGTTGTTTACACAGGTTTCATTATTGAAGCGATGAAGCTTGAGATTTTGTAACCCAAAAAACCTTATCTCTCTAAATTATGATTCCATTTGACATTGCTTTCCACTTTTTATTTCCAATTTGTTTGATTTATTTGGGAAACTGTAAAATTATGCTTGCACACCTCAACCGATACAACACTTGCTATTGCTGAATTGCAAGATCTTAAATTGAATTGAACAAACTCCCCCAAATTCTTATAGTCAGACTAATCTCTTGGGGAGAAAAATGTAAACCAAGTGACTGATTGATGACTGCATGCAGGACGTATGGTCTGTAAGATCAATCCAATTTGACTTGCTGAGTAACTCAATTACCCTCAACACCCGGACACATTTGCATAATGCGGACTGACAGTGCGCCTTAATCCACTGCTGAGAAATAATAATTAGTGGAATAATGGCCCATTGATTGCTGAAATCAAGCCGAGTTTACCCATTGGGGAAACCGGAAACAATTGAAACACTTTGAGGCTCTGAGCCACTCCCTTCTTCCCCCTATACATCCACAGAATGCAGCATCATCATCATTAAACCCCCTGTCTGTCCTCTGCCCCATCCTTTTCTTGTGTAATTCATAATCAATGATCTCTGCGAACGAACATCGCAGGAGAGGACTAATTCAAAGATCATCAGCCACGCTCCATTGTGCGGTTAATGTACCGAAACTCCATCCCATCGCAGGGGTTTTTCTTTTCTACCTTCTTCCTGGCAAGCCAGATTGAAATGTGAAAACAAGTGGAAAAATTGTCTGGTTGTGGGATCTCCAACTCCGGATGGTGAGGATGATGAAGATGAGGTGATTTCCTGCATCACGGCCGAGGAGCAGAGAGGCTGCAATTTAATGCCCGTCCAATGAGAGTTTGATAGCATCTCAGTTTGAGACTGTCAAGTCAGCCCTTTTGGCTTCTGAAGTGTTTTCAGTGAAAGCATCTCCAGCATTGTGATCTCTCGCCTCCTGCATCGCTCCTTCGGGCTTCTCTCTTCTTGAACCAGCAAGTTGGAGGTCAGTAAAAAGCAAACCTGTGTATGCCGATGTATGCAGCACTGCCTACTTGATTTTCATTGTTATTTGGAGGAAGTTGTTAAGTAGGGATTGATGTTGCTCCAAGTCGGTGTATCTTCCCAGACAGATTATATTTCTGTATTCCAAGTCTTCTGTTTTTGTTCAACAGTTCATGCTTTGCCATAATCACACCGAAAAAGTTTCAAGTGATTGTGCATGGCATTGCATCAGACAATTTGACCATATTTCTGTAATTTACCAAGCAGACCTGTTTTGTAAACCTGTTGATAATGGCACCAGAATGCACATTTTGTTATCGTCGAATAACAGAAAGATTAATCGGTCAGCTTCCTGTCACTGGAGGAAGTTGAGTTTGTACACAAGCGGTACATTGTAAATGACTCTTTGATGAGATCAAGCTGTGACACTGCGTTGAACCTTGCTTCTTTTGTTTGCCGGGTGTAACGGCTCGGCAAACAAATATGACTGATGGTGCCGCGTAAACGTGACCCTTATCCCAGTACTTTACAGCCTCGGTTGCCAGCCAGAATTAATTGCCTCCCAGATTTGACAGGTTTGGGGAAATACTGTATGGTAGTAGCTGTGGAATTTGCTTCAATCAGGATTTTGATACTAGTCAGCTTGTATGCACACTTTTACTGATAAAGATTCATACAGATTTACACCAAATTAGACTGTCTTACGGTACGTCAACGCAACACAAGGTACAGTACATGTACTGCGTTTACAGGATTTGTAAATTAGGTCAAATTTCTGATTTGTTGTTAATTGTATCGTTTGTTTGACACAGTGGTCTTGTTCTGTTTACAGGAATTAACCATTGGTTGACAGGCATGTACTCTTGGTCTACCCTGCAATGTGTTCACACTGAAATCCTAGAACATGAAATCCAAGGAGTAGTGTCGAATAATAAATAATTTTAAAAATACCAATATTAAAAGTAAGAATTACATGCCTAGGAAAATACATGTGGCATAGCTTACCAGTATAAGTACTCGAAAATGCATCTCAATAAACTTGTCAAATGTTATCAGTAAATCTGTCAATCAATTTACCTAAAATTTTTCTTCCATCCTCCCTGAAACCGGGGGAACTTCAAAGATACCATCAGTCTGAGAGTGGTTTCGTTTGCAAAGACAATTAGTCTGTGACTCAGCCCCCTCGGGCCTTCAAATTTAGGCACAGATTCCGTAGACAAAGGGGCTTACCATGCTGAGTATATATATATCCCCCTTCCCCGAGAAGGAGAAAAAAAATATATAGGAAAATCAAAATTTAATAAGATGTGTGATTCATGGGAGAGAGGGGGATCGGCGAGTGCATTTGATGGCAAACCCCCTTTCCCCGCCATAATGAAATGCCCCGGAGAGATTGTTGCACTGGAGCAAAGGGTCTTGCAAATATTGGGATTAGGAGGAGGGGACCTAATTACGAGATTTTTTTTGGGGGGGGCCTTCTCTTTCTTCATCTGAGGTCTGGGTATTGGCTGGCCGAGTTTGGGCTTTTGTGTAAAGGACGGCGTGGAAGGAATTAGCCATTGTGCATTGTGAAGAGGTAGAAATTCTATCACTGCACAAATAGCTGTGGATAATTGGGGGAGTGGCCGTGTATATGATTGTGGGAGGGAAGGAAACTCAGAAGTGATGATATCTAGCCAGGAGCAGCAAATCTGTTTTACTAAACAGGAAAAAAAAAGATAAAATGAAAAAAATTCAAAGATGATTGTCAGACATAATGAACATTTTAAACAAAAACTGACTCGTCCATTTCTTTCCTTTCCTTTTGAGCAGAAAATTGCAATTTTCCCAAACTATGGGTAGCACTAGAAACATTAGAGCCCCACGGACCAGTGTCCAGTGGGTGTCCGGTAGCAACATCGGTGACCAGTGTTACCATACCAAACGACCGGTAGCCATGCACTCATCAAGTCCTGCTCCTGAATGAGGACATGTAGAGGCAAGAAGTACACTCAGGGGTCAATTCCATAGCACTGCTTAAGCAAGAAAATTGTTTAAGCGTGAAAAAAAAATTGCTTGACAAATCAAGTTACCAGTCAAAGCTTCTTGTGATGTATATTGTTTTGTAATGTTACTTGTATTTACCTGTGTTTTGCATGACAATTACATAGAGTTTGAGCTGGTAACCTTTATTTAGCAAGTTTTTCTTCATGCTTAAGAAAATTCTGTGCTTGAACAGCTCTATGAAATTGGCCCTGGTTAACAAATATATGCACAGTGGAAACTGTCAGTTTTGCATTGCATCCATGCATGGTCATCTACATGAATACGAATACTCATCAATCTCCCACTCAAAATGAAAACCTTGAATTTACATGAATTACAGCAGAGCGTAATGGGTTAGTGGTTTCCCCCGCTTGTGCCACGGCACACTTCACAGCTTTTCAATCTTCTCCGTTAATTTGCCAAATTGCTCAAGCCCTGTGGGTAAGCGCCAGTGAATTGCATTGAAAAAAAGAAGACTGAGAGAAAAAAATAAGGTTCCGTTAAAGCAACCTTGTTCACAGCAGGCCCTTGTGTTGGGGGAATATTCAGTGCATTCATCTGATCTCTGACTTGCAGGGCAGTGAACCTATCACAAGCGTGGATGCATAGATGAAGTCAGAGATACTGAGGCTTTATATGTGTGCTAGCATTAAAGGATGAATGACCTCCTCCCTTGCCAGTTGTGGGGCTCTTTGGCATTTGCTTCATTTTAGGAGGAGATATCGACACTCATCAAATTGGAAATTTTAAAAAGTAATTTTTACAACTTAAGAGTTGTAAGCTTTCTTTTCTTGACCTACCGGTATGTTCGATGATTTTTTTTTTATTTGTTTATTTTTGAATTGATGAATCCCCTGGTCCCTCTCAGCTCATTTTGAGGTTGTGCAATTGAGGGGATCAGAACGGCCTCAATGCTCTCCGCTGGATGACGTTCTGATCACGGATCAGGCAGTCGTGTGGCAAAAAGGAGGGGGGGGGATTACAATGTACGTCATTGACGGCATTGTCAGTCACGTGTACCCAATTTCTTGTGATCTGTGTCTGACCCCGAGACAGAGACCCACTCTGTGCTGCCAGTCTGGAGATCAAACAAGGGGGGCACCCGATCAGACTGTCTGAACCCTTTCCAAGGAAAAAAAAAAGAGAAAAGAAAAGTGTGAAACCCATTTGTTCACATTAACAGCACTGGCTTGATTTGTCAAGCGTGGCCAGATGAAAGTAATTTCGTCAGTTGATCGCCAGCATGTGTGGAAGCATCCACATGGGCCCTACAGGGCTCAGTGGATTCTTTTGTTGTTTTCGATGCACTTGTTACCTTGTAGATTTGGGTAACCAGTCGTTGGGCACGTAAACATCTCAACAGAAAGGAAAAAATTGACCCACATTTCCCCAGTGGAGGCTGGAGCCCAAGAAATGGTTTTTAGCTGTGAGCTACTTTTATGAAGTTAAAGCAAACATGCAGTGGAAAAAAGTCCTTATTTTGATACCCCACTGCAGGGTCTTTGGATCAGATTTATGGTTCTTAAGCTAAAAACAAGATAATCTTGAAAGCCCAAAACTACGAAAGGTCTGGCCTTATTTCGGGGGAGAGGGTATTGAACCACATGACACATCTGAAAAGCAGCTTTAAAAATCTTCCAACTTTTTGACCCATCCCAACAGACATTTAAAAATCGATTCCATTTTCCCTGCCACATGACACGGATAAATCATACGTCGCTTGGCCTGTTTTGACAGAAAGGATGGTATTGTCCCGAATGTGTGTTTGCAAGGAGGGAGATGGCAATGCAGATTATTTTGTGTCGGCTGTAAGAGGTACGTGTACAAATGCATTCTTTAGCAGAGAATGTGCATGTAATAACATGCCCCCCCCAAAAAAAAACATAGCCGGTCTCTGGTCTGCGCATGTGTCGATTTTGAACGTGCGCGTCAATTTTTTTTTTTTCTCAAAATTTTCAAAACAGCGCCCTCTATTTCGGCAATGCCCGAATGTTCGCGAGTAGACTGATTCCTGGCCACAAGTCTATAAGTCGGAGGGGCTTTTTGTTTAAGGAACCAGACTAACGTTCGTGGGTAGCTAGCACCGGGTGATAGATCCATTACGAATGCTTAATGTTGATGTCAAACGCAAAGAGTAGACCATGGGTAGGCTTAGGTTACAAAGTTGCAGCCAGCTGATCAACAAAAATGGCGGCATGACGTGCGACGTGCTCTTTGATTAAATATGCCACTCATTTCCGTGTCCGTCGCCAGTCTTAAAAAGCCAACCCCATCTGCTGGCCGCCCCTAAAAAAAATATGAAAAAAAGGCATTGCCGCATCAATTCTGGAACTTTGGTCTGACCAGAGACCAAGTATTTTTTGGGGGGGGTCTAACAAAGGGCAAGAGTCCTGGAAACAGAATATCACCAAATGAAAAAACTCTCAGTAGCGCTGTGCCGTTTAATGGACATTTCTGCAAATGAATACTTGTATGTACAGAACATGATTACACTCTATAATACGTTCGGTATCTCCATTCAGATGTAAATCATGTTTGGAATGTGGGTCTCAACCGTCTCATAATGGGAGCAAAAAAACTATTGAGATATTGTACAGTCGATGACTGATTTTTGTGAATCCAAAAAGGGCCAAGGGGGGGGAACAGGTTTGAGCTTCCTTCCACTCGAAATGTTGACAGATGGTCCCGGTACTCCGCTGCAGCTGGTCTTATACACAGTTCTTGCACGACCAACACCAGCGAATGAGCCAGCGCGGGGATGCCATTTGTCTTTGTCAGTCCAGTGTCATGTTCGAGAGCCGGGGGAAAGATGATGGTCTGTTTAATGAAGTAAATGCCCTGTATGGATTCAAACTATGGGATGTCGGCGTTGTATCTCTTTGTTGCATTCGCACCTGCTGCTCTGGAAATTTAGGGCCGATTAATATTGCATTGTGTTTGTGAATTTTGAGTAATTATAAATTTTAGATTAGTGGTTTTGGGGTGTAATTGATCTGTCTCAGCCTCAGGCCAGATTCAGAATACTGTATTTACACAGGACTTGCTGGATGTGCTTGAATTAAATCTTAAGGAAGCACACTGTATGGTAATGACACGAAAACGAGGTTTTCTGCTTGCAGATGGTAGTCAATTGATGAAAATGTGAGATTCAAAGTGAATCTATCGTGTACTTAATTCTTAAATTTTTTTTAAAGTAAGTTGGATTGTCTGTTGGGTTGAGTTGTTTATTTTGTCAACTTTATGGATATTGACATGATCCTGTATTTATGCTACCAGTATGCTCACAAATTGGGATGCAGCCTGTGATCAGTGCTTCAAAACAGCAAGCTGCTTAGAAATTTGTATGCATTACCAGCTAAAACACCCTGTGAAGTGTGTATGTGTATTGCTTGTTTCACTGGTTATCAGCCCGTTTTTAGGCTTAGCAGACAAGGTCAGTAAGCAGTATTTTCTGCTTAATGTTTCTTTAGACCGGATAGATTTGTTGACCTTTTTTCCATTTTGATTAAATGTAGGTTTTATTATTCTTGCCTAATGTATCATAGGAGAAATGTCGAGAGGGTTTTTTTTTTCAGAAAAGTGATCAAAGAGCAAATGTTGTGCTACAATACCTTAACAGGTGGCTCATCTGCCTTGAAGGACCAGAGTACTCATCAGAAGGTTCCCTGGAAACTTAGACCGACGACGGAGATAGATTTGTAGCAGGAGGCGAGAATGGAGATTTGTAAGCTGGAGGCAATTGTTCAGACAAGCCTCACAGGGGGAGTGTCTTTGTAGGATTTTTTGTTCGTTTGGCTTGGACTGACAGGTTCGTGGCTGCTCTTCAACTCTCGCCCTGGCTGTAACCGGATCGGGCGGGTTCGTCATGGAAGGATGGATGGGCACGGGAGTTGATAACCAACCCCTCATGGATGAGGTCTTTAAAGGGACAGTTAAAAACTGGTAGAGCAGCACAGCTCTCTTAAGAACATTTTCGTTAAAGTTTTGTTCATTCTACTGTGCATAGTGTTTTGGAAAATGGCTCTCGGATGAAACAAACTGTTCATCAGTTACAGGCAGATGATACTACATGTACAGTGTAGTAGACAAGTTTTTCATTGAATGTTACACATTCTTGCAGTGGTAAGAGGTAATAGGTGGAATGTTCCATTCTACAAGGTAGAGAGGTAACAGGTGGAATGTTCCACTTTACAAGGCAGAGAGGTAGCAGGTGGGATGTTCTATTCCATGAAGCAGAACTGGCTAGTAACGAGGCGGATCCTGGATGTGCTGTACAATGTGTGAAACACACTGTTCAATAACTGAAAAGAGTTGATGTGAAACGTGCCCCATGAAAACAAAAACTTGTACATTTCCTCCCACTTTGGGAGCTTTCTTTCAGCTCATGCTCACACTGTCAGTGACCCGTGTTATTCAGAATACTCAGTCATGTGCCGTACTGTAGCTGTTTTGATCTCGATTATGTGATCGGACTTTAGAATGCTTCGAGAGTCAATATTAGTGTGCCCCAGATTTGTCTCGTTGCTGCTTTGTAAACCAAACCCGCACTCGGCAGCAGTCAAGAATGAAGGGCATCCATGAGGCTGGAAATTAAGTCTTTAAAGGAGCGCTGGCAAGTGCAGAAGACTTACTGCTTCTGTTGCGCAGGCACTGTCTTGTTAGAAAAACCAAGAGCACACTGCTCCTTTAATTAATCACTGATCAGAGGTTACAGATGTTCTTCTTGGCTCCTAATCAAGCAAGGTGAGAGCGTTCTGTCCCCTGAAGTCAAAGGATAAAAATCCGGGACGATGATGGCTTGTATACATGTAAGTATCGTGATACGTGGTAAATCCAGTTTTAGGGTGGATACAAGTTGGATGCATTTTTACCAGCAAAGAGAGCGATGAGATTTCTCACAGTTTTGATGAGTGGAATTACATTTGCTGTCAGCTGGATAATCATAGAGAAAGCTTTGTGGTACAGTGTACATGCAAGATTGAAACAGCTCACAAGTTGCGCGCGGAAGCATTGATGCGCATTATTGTTGAATAATATATTCCCTCCAATTAGGATTTGAAGCAATCACATTATGGAGCCCCAGAAAAATGATCGCATCTTTGCACTTTGAGGGCTGTTGGGAACAATGGTGCATACATACATGTATGTACATGCACACCTTTGTAATAGTTTGGAAGTAAAACTCCGTCAAAGTGGTTTCCTCATGAACTGATTGCTGGCAGAGCCAGATTCCAGCTTCATCAATTTTTCAAGGGGCAAGTGGTTCAGGAGTGCGTTTGTCATCAGATACTCACAATGTGTCGTTATGAATATTGATGAGCTTCCGCAAGAAAAGGAGTAACGGGACACCGTCCCAGATACATTAATTGACAGCCCGGCGATGAAATAGTATCCGCGCATCGTCTCAGGGAACATATTTGTGAACATTAGCACAATGGAGTCTTCATCCTTCATTGTCTCAGCTTCAGTCCTTTGCGTTGCCCATCCGTCACCCAGCACCCACTCTTCACCCTCTCCCAGGCCCCCCCCCAAATTCTACCACCCCAAGTGTGTTTAGCAGTCAGTGTAAATAATCGTGTCATCCCCGTTTAATCTCAGAACCCGAGCTCTCCATCACGCACGCTCAGCCAAACTCAATGCTTTTTTTTTTCCCGTGAATCATTTTTCGCCTCGAGTTCCACCCCAGGAGTGGACTGTACTTTCCTCCTCCCCCGTGATCCTCAAACGATACTCATTCCCTCTACCCTTCCCTTCGCCTTCTCCCCCCCCCAACATCCATCCAACCATTAGTAATACGATTACTCCCCTATATAAATGTCTGCATGAGCAAACCACAAAGAGTGCCTTTTTTCTGTTGGTGTGGGCGAACGTGCCCGCGCGTTAATTTCTGCCCCTTGTCCTTAATGTCTACTCGGGGGGAGGGGTAGATTATAGTGATCTTCAACAGCAATGTTTAAAGCAAAGCAAATTGTCTTCCAAATGATGGTAAGTGCTGTTAAGGACATTCACGGCCTGAGAGCGAAGTGGACTTCAGTATGTTGACCTGGCCCTCTCCCAGTGCTGCAAAATCCAACTAATGGTTTGGTCCTTTCCATAGGATTTAGCATAGTTCTGATACAGACCCCAGAAACCAGGACTGCACCAACATTCTCTTTTTATTTGAGCCCCCTCCCCCCCCAAAAAACAGGTCTCCTTAAAATGTTTTATGGGGATTCTTTTTGAGGTTTCGTCCAAATGTGAGTCGGTCACCTCAGCGGCTTCTTTCCCCTGACATTTGTTCGATTTTGTGTTGGAATGACTCAACGGTGCTCATGAGGGGATGATGTGTGTTGGCTCTGATGACGGAACATGTAGGACTATATGGTTCCTCAATGCCGGAGGCATTGTTGAATCATAAAGTAGGTCACTAGAACAATAGAAAAAAACCTGTGTTCAACCTCAAAAATGTCATACTATGGTGTCACGAATTGTAGCTTGTCCAGCGTATCAGATGAAACATCTGTAAATGAGCTTCATTCAAAATAGGGGATGATGCTTGAGATCGAACTAAGTTACATACACCCCCCCCCAAAAAAAATTACTCCCAATATTGGAACAGAAAACAACTGTAGCATCTCTTCGTGTGATCTGATTTGGGTCCGATGAAGATCTTCTTCTACGTGTAGAAGTAGTCTGCGCGTACGTGTATGTATAAAACAATAGGGACCTGTTATCATCCTCGTTTTCCCATTTGTTTTATCTGTTGCTGAAAGTGCCGAAGTGTTTGTGTGAAGTCGGAGTGAAGACAATCAGCCTGATCAGGTGGTTCATCACAAAGAGCTTTTCACGGGAACTCTGCTTACAAATGAAATAGCGAGATACTTTTCTCCCCATTTCTATGCTTTGTTTTTGTTTGAACTATAAACCACACACCATACATTTTTCACACTTCGCACCCGTGGGTGGATCTACTCGCTTGAACCTCGGGAGACAGTCTGTTAAAATATTCACCCTCTCTTATAACACTCACGTCCCCATCATCGCTGATACACCGCTAGATCTCTCACTGTTCCGGGAGCGGGAAAGCATCTGTCGGACTTGTGGCTCGGGAATTTTTTTTTCCATCCCATTGGCTGCCAGGTCGGCCGTGCAATAAAGGGATCGCCCGGTTTAATGAATTAAGGGGAATGGGTGAGGCTGACTCCTGCACAGCTCATGCAGGTCGAAGCACATGGTTCGAGCCAGACCCCTAAGCCCCCAGGCTAAATTTAACAGCAGCTTCCAAATCTATTAAGCACAGACTTTTTCCACTTACCAAAAAACACGACTACCAATTTCTTATGTCATGTGTTGCATATTGCTCGTCGCAGGTTGCCAACTACTGGTATTATTTGCTATTATTTAATTGTGCAAAACTGCTTGATAGTGTTTTTCTGCTTGCCAGCACCGTGAAATTAGATCCTGACTGGCTTTAACGGGTGGCAGAAAAACCCCTCAGCTCTGATTTTGTTCCTCATTGGTTCAGGTAGCCTGCAGTATCGCTTCTAATGCATCGTTTCCCAGCCCTGTGAAAAACTTGCATCCAGGAGCGGGCTTGTACTTTATCTGTGTTAAATAAATATTTGACTAATAAACTAATAGTTTCAGGAAGGTATACATTGAAAGATTATTCTTCCGAGATTTTTTAACGTGACAAGTTACTTTATGTACCAGTGCATAGCTTTTCATCTTTGATTTGGTATATAAAGATTGTCTAACAAGAAGCACATAAACAAGTCTATGTAAAAAAAAAAAGTCAGCAAAGCCTGTAATGCATTTTGTAAGGGACAAATCTGTTTCACTTTCACGACTGAATACAGAAATTGCCATTTGTGTCCTTATTCCCCATATACTCAAGCACTCCGCGCTTAACCAGACTTCACTAATAAGACATTGAAAAATTATGTGATCGCACTAACAAATCTTCCTCTTTTATTTGAAATCTCCAGACACGATTTGCTAGTCGTCTGCCGAGAACTGAACATGGAGGATGCTGTGCAGGACATCATGGAGCAGCTTGGGGCTGGAGAGACGGGCCGCATCTCCTGTGAGGAGTTCATCAGCTGCCAGCGCAAGCTCAAGGGAGAGATCAGCTCCCTGACCAAGCAGGACAGTGGGCTCTCCTCCCACCCGAGCCTCGGGGAGCTGGACGGCAAGCTGGAAGGGGAGGGGCAAGGCTCGGTGGGCATGGGCAGCGACCCCAACCTGCCCCGGGTGCTGAACAAATACGGCTCCTGGCCCAACAGCGACAACAGCCTAGGTAAACAGTTAGGGGGGATTTCTAGACTACAGACTTAATGTAGACACAACATTTGCTTGCACCATTCTGTTATGAAGAAAATGTTTCTCCTACCAAAAATTACAAGTGTGTCTAAGTCTGTGATCTAGACCAGAAGATGTAAATGTCGCCCTCTGTTGACGGGGAACAGTTACAGACAAGCTCAGGAGAGTATTTGAAGTGATGATCCAAGGTTGTGCAAAAGTGCAACCGCTTGGTTTGCAAATCTTCCACCTGACGAGGGCAGATCCACAACCAAATTTTCATTAGGGGGGCAAAAATTAGCGAATTTTATTATTTAGCCTCATAAGCCCTTTCTGAGGAGCGAGGGGACATTCTGAGGCTTTTGCATGTGTCTGGGAAAAAAAGGGAAATTAAGTTATCCCCAAAAGTCTTTTGTCTCTCATTCTTTGTCAAAAGAATGGAGATGGACCCCACTTTGATCCGCCAATGCCATCAGAGATGTATCAGAAGGACCCAGTTTCTTCTGAGTGACCATGCTGAGTTTTGTCCACCCATCGGGTTTGACAGTGTGCGGATGATACGGTTTTTCTTTTCTCGACAGCGTCGTCAGCTGCCAGAGAGAGCTGGGAGAGGGACTCGGGAGCCAGGGACATGAGCCCCGAGCCGGGAGCCTTCCTTCAGAAGCTCATGGAGAGCGTCAACTCCTCATCCTCCGGAGGAGGAAACTTCCTGGAGCTTGCCAACACGGTAAGTAGATCAGCTGCAGTTTGGTTTGGTTTTGATCTTGGCGCTGCGGAGCAGGGAGTTTTGGAGCTGTAATCAAGTCCATCACAGGTCATCCAGTCTTCAGCCAAGTCGTGAGGAGCTCAAGTGAACTTTGACGGGGTTATTTTTTGTCATTGTTCACCGTGCTACTTGTGACTTGTCTTGTTACTGGACCTGTGGAAGGATCTGTGACCGGTCATGTGATGGACTCGACTGCAGCTGTTGTTAAAGCTCTGTTGATCCTATCAATGTTCAACTTTTTTGTGCTACTATATCACTTCAAATCTCGTTCTTTGGTCGGTTTGGATTACTTGATGTGATGTAGGCACACGCTCATATTGTTGGGTCCCAACAACTTTGCATCAGGATTGTATTCGTTAGGTCTTGTCTGATGTGTAGAGTTGTGACTGTGGCTCTTTTGCAACACTGCCCTCTAGTGGCTTGTGTTGGACATGAGGTACCCATTCCAAAGGAAAGAATGCATTGTGTGACCATAGAGGGCAGTGCTCAGATTGCCCAATGTGATTTTCAAGATGACTGGAATCGCCGAGGTACCAATGTGACTGTTGCATCGGTTTGTGTGGGAGTTATGATACAAGTACTCTCCAGCTCAAGAAGATTGATTGGCAAACACAGTGTGCCAGATGGGCTTTTAAACAATAAGAAAGTGTTCAACGGTGACTCATTCCCCTTTGATAAGAGTAGCTCTTGGCCAAGCTGCTTAGTATGTACATACTGAATTATTTTCTTGATTTCATTTACATTTAAATTTTACGGCTGAGCTCAATTTAATCTGCTTTCTTACTTGGGTAGGCCAGCAAGCCCAACGAAATTTCAAGACCTGTTTCCGGTCTTGCCGTCACATGTCCATTGCATAGTTAGCCCTGTTTTGATCTGAATACAGTGAGACACTCAGAACGTCTGGAATTCAGATTTCAATTGGGGAGCGAAAGAACTTCCTTCCCAAAACCATTTACCGTAGTATCGATGTCCACTTCCAATAAAAAAAATGCCAGCAAAAATGGGACAAAATGATGAACCCGATGATAACGGGTTTAATATCACAAAATATGGATCTCGTTGTTGTAAGCCAGACTGGCATCTTATTGCACCAGAGATTACGCTGACATAAATCAGTTAAATGATATTTGCCCCGCACATTACCAAGTTTAACGGTTAACCAGCTACAGCCTAAATATTTACAGAGAAAGATGCCACAGGACCGGAGGATGATACTCTCCTTCCAGGTGTCGGATCTCAATCATCCCGGGCAAACCACGCGCCGTCACGTTCCCCAGTAATTTGCGGGAGGGGGGGGCTTACGGTGAAATTTCCTCCCGGGTAATCAAGATGTATAATGGGGCTAAACTGGGTCTCTTTAACCCCGACCCCGGGATAGTCACGCATTGAATGCCAAATGACAGAAGGCCGAGAGAGAGAGAGGTTGAGAAAGTGAAGAGACCACATTCCCCAAGGCATATGGCTTCAATAAATTTGGTTGAAAGGGTTGGTTACGCAGGCACATATGTCCTTGTCCTAGCATGCTTTCTTTGAGCTTGTCAGCAACAGATTCTAACAGATTTTTAACAAATCTTTATTTTTTTTTTCTGGTTGCCTCCTCGCCTGTCTGTCCATAGGTTAGGGTACCAAAGCATTTGCTTAACCTAACACCTAAATGTTGTCATTTTCTTTTGAATATTATGTAACCATGATAATATTAATGATATTTATATTTATCTGTGACAAATGTACATTTGTGTATACGTCTAATTTGTGTCCACAATGACAACGTTGAATAAATGCCCTTCTCTAATCTAATTATAAAATTGTGTTATCAAAAAAGGTCGGAAGGTCAGCAAGTATTGAACTTTTCACAAGCAGTGGGTACTTTACATGAAATTTTGTTTGGAAATTTCAAATTTCAGTGGTGTTTTTTTTTTCTTGGCAGGCGCTTCCTTAAAAGTAAACATTTAATCTCGTAAATATTGTAGCACACAGCAGCACTCATGTACTGTACACTTTTGCTCGTGCCAGTTCTCATACTCAGTTAACTATGGAAGGGCTGCGTAGCTCCGTGATCAGTATATTGACAGGAATATAATATAAAATCTGTGCTCTGGGATACCGAAAACTTGGCAATCACATATTCCAGAGCACTGATTTCATGTTATATTCTTCTCATACTCATTTACTGTTTTTCTGGACTTGTACTTGAGGCAATGTACTTTGGTGTTGTCTCTGATGTCACTCTTTTAAGTCAATTCCGCCCGTGAATGAACTAAATGAAGTTAGCGTGCTCTTTGCTTGTGACTGTTCTCTTGGAAAGGACGGACGTTCTGAAGGCAGAAATTGAGTGCTTTTTGTAGCACTTTGAAATCGGATCCACTCTTGGAAAAAGGAACAAACAATTACTGCTGTTGAACAAATTGAACTTTTTTGAATGAGTGCACAGTTATACCATTGCCTAAACACTCTCGCAAGATTTGATTTTTTTTTTTCTTGAAAACAACTCTGAAACTTGATACTGGACAGGATGTCAGCGAATGCATTCTATGGCCTACACGTATTGTGGAACGGGATACCTGTCTCATGCAGCTCAAAGGCTTGATGCATCAACATAATGTTGATTGATTTGCAGGTTTCCATTTCTTGCAATTGACTGGAGGACAGGGACTCTTTCCTTGGAAAGCGATCTCCGCTTCTTTTTGAGAGACGGCGCATTGTTGTTTGAATGAAAATTGATAGCTTCATCACTTTGCAGAGTTATGGAATGTTTAGGCTTCCCAATATAAATGGAATGTTTTGTGCCAGTGTACAAGGTGCAAAAATAGATCAAGTTCTGTTTTAAATTACAATTTGATGTTTTTGTAAAATATATGTGCTAAGGTACTGTGCATCTAGAGTTTACAATGTAGAAGCAGCTTTCCTCTCTGAGCAATCTTGACTCAGTGATAAACATGTAATCAAAGTTGAGAAGCAGAAAACTTAGAATTTTTGGCAGCCACGTTGTAGATGTTTTATAAGGTTCTCAGATTTTTTCTTGCCAGCTATGTTTACTCTGTCAGGGGCATTAGACAGACGGTACGTGGTGGTTCATCCAGGGGGTAACAAAATCCACCCATGATAATTGAACTGAAATTTTGACGGGCACCTGTGCGCAGACCCCACAAGTACCTCCTACAAAGCACGAGGAGAAATATGTTATAGCAGGTTTCAGTCCATGTATAATGATGGCTTTGTTTGCATCACCTGTTGATGAACGAATATTTATGAGGCGTCCTAGGTACACTAAGGTGAGAAACATGTTTGATTTTTTATTTTTTTAGGAAGACAACTTTGTTTGGCCTTACAGTTTCAAATTAAAATGAAAAATTGTGAAAGATTGGGTTACAGTTCTGTGAACTTGGTCATGGGTAAAGAATTTTTTCTGCGGGAACTGAGGCAAGCAGGAAAGGAATCAGAGGCTTTAGGGATTTGGACTTTGGAAAGGACATTCTTTTGCAATTCCCAAACAGGAAATATCACATCTCTTTGGCTATTGTCACAGGAAACAAATGTGTTATGAATCTACCCAAAGGGTCCCGGGTTGACAGGAGACAAAGAAAAATTCCATAAGGCAATAAAACAAGGCAAGAACCATCTCGGGGAGGTGAACTCAAATTGCTACTTCCTTGAAATTCGGCAACCCCAGATCGTTAAAGAGATTATCAGACTCCTACAGCCTCATGTAGCAGTTAAAAAAAAAAGACCGGCAATGGGATTTCTGAACCACTGAACTGTTTGTCTCTCATTAAAAGGGAAATTATGATAGGCCGGATGGTCACGGGACAGGAAATTCTCCATGGATCAGTGGTGTGTGTGTGTGTGTATGTGGGGGGGGCTTTTAAGGATCCTCATTGTGTGGGGGTATTTGTTTAGCCGGCGCTGGGGCAGAGAATTGCGGTGATTGCGTTGGCCTTTTATGGAAAGGGAAAGAGAGAGAGAGGGGGAAAAAAATCAGGTGGGGAGAGGGAGGTGAAGTGGAAGGTTGATTGTCACACTGAGGCACGGTTTCGGAAGGGTTTGGCCAGTCGGTGTTATCACAGCGGCTGGAGGAGGGGAAGCAAACGCCCGGCAGATTGTAATATTCACGGCTGGGTGATTGACGGCACCATCGCCATCTCTTGCCGGTGTCAATGTGTGAAGTTATTCGATGCCATTGACGAGGCGGAATCTAATAGCCAGACTCTCATTAGGATCGGGTTTAGAACCACGGGAAAGATGAGGCATCAGAGTAGCATCGTGTTGCCGGCTCTGTAGAACTGTATGCATGCTTCACTGTACAAACTGGACCAGTTTACAGCCATCTTCACTTCACTGGACTTGACATAGTAGTTGACATTGAGAATGTACATTCATGTATGTTATGTGTGGACAGCTAAGCGGAGAAATTTTACTGAAACGGTCTATTTTATTGGACAACTCCGATATTGGTAACCTGAGTTTTGATGGCTGTTTCAACAAGCATGCGGCTGAATGCCAACTGACTCTGTGTGCGCAAGGAGACACAGGCGGTTAATGCACTCAGCACACCCGCTCTCCCTTCTCACTCATTGAGGGACGATCTCGTGACAGACGGCATCCTGCGAATCACTTAAAATATCTGGCTCATCTGGGGGCTGCTATGTCAAGCCGTGGTCCCTGCTGGGAAGATAGTTCAGCCCTGCGACTTGATGAAATGTCGTCAAGTCTCTTATCTTCCCATCCCCCCCTTCCCTTTGCATGCAGAGACCACAGATCCATCTTCCCTCCGTTAATGGGAGGTCAGAGCTGACGAGAGACAACAGGAGTGTGAAAAGAGTCAGGGAGGTGCCTCGGTAGCTGGGGAGCTGTGATCACAGAGTCATCGTCACTCGTTCAAACACGGCATTAGGAGGGTTTAGAAGGAAGAGATCTGTAATCAATGAGGAAAATTTTGCAAATGGTAGAGGTCACTGCACAGACAATTTGATGAGCACGTTTGGACTGAATTGGGAGGAGCCGTTGCCACAGTAACAGGCAGCTTTTTTTCCCTCATCCATCCTCTAAGGAATTTCTCCTTTAGCTTCCAGGTGGAGTTCTGGAGATGGACACAGGGGCCGATCGGAATATTGATGAAACAGAGACTGCATCATCAATCTGCTGCTGAGGCTAACCTTCAAGATGGCTTTTCCCAGATGACAAGAACATCTTAATTGATGCAGATGTGTGTACTTTTGATGAGAAACACCCAGAGAGAGAAGAATGTACTCACTGCACAATATTGTACTTGCTCAGTGTACTGTCTGTCGAGGCACTCGTAATGTACCTGCACTTTTCACCGATGGATGTGAGCTTTTTAAGAATCCATTGAGCAGTGCAGCTTGGTGGACAGACCGGGAGAGCGGATAGAAAGAGCTTCATCTGTCAGCTGATGCACCGGGTAAGTGGCTCTGGTCTGCCGACCAAAGCTGGTGATGTGTTGTGTTAGGCACTGCCGGGAACATTGGCACCATCACACGAACATTGCCACTAACGCGATAGGCCCAGGAAGGCTTAGTCATTAGCAGACAGCTAATGACAAACCACTTAGCATTCTGCGAGGGGGAAATCTACAGTGTACGTGCACCGCAAAAGCTCACTGATCGTGTCAGCGTCAGCCAGTGTGGCAGTCTTGTTTCTCTCGCTTTGTGGGGTACTGACGAAGAGCCCAACTGCAGGGTTTTTTTGTTTGTTTGTTTTTAAGTTTGGATTTAGACCATATCGTGTACACATTGGATGGATTAATTGACGGAAGGAACAAAAACGCTACAGTGTATTGGCTTTTCCTGTGATGCACTTCCATTCCGGCTCAGTTGAAACTGACTTTCTGGCCCTCCGGTGGGGCATCACAACCTCTCAAACTTCCCCAAGGAATCATAATAATAACGGCCGATACCTTAGACCACAAAGACCGCATGTGCACTCTGTGTTTGTGTATGTCCCATCCTGTTAGCATTTATCAGCGTTGAGTGGTGTAGACGTGCTGTGTGTCGTGGCTTGCCCGATGCAACAACTTGTGACAGAGAGAAAGAAAAAACTCATGTTTCTACATTAATTGTTGGCTCAGCAGTCGGCTTGTATAAATTGCAGGCGGGACATCTGACATCGGAGTATATCGACACCTGTGTGACGTAGATAAAGAGAAAAATTTACGTCTTGTCAAGGCTTGGCTGTGTCTGTGGGTGCCTGTTGTGGCCAGTTTGTTTACCAAGGAGGGGAATGGTTTGATGCCTGTGGAACTTGTGCAAGTTGTGCTTGACCTGTTAAACCCAGATCGGGATTAGTTACCCAGAATGGCGAATGTCAACAGTGGTAATGTGTGCCCGACAGCACAGAGGACAACACGTACCAATGCAGACATGGTAAGGCAGTTGTACAGTGTGTATTTATAAATACTTCCTCCCTCGTGGGTCAAGCTTATTTATTTAGAAAAGTTTCACTTTCTTGTGTTTCGGTGTCGCTGAACATTTTTTTTTCCTTCTGGTGTTTTGTAGACTGGAGCATACACGTAATGCTCTGCTTTAACTCGTGGATCTTTATGCAGGATGAAAACAGATCTTATGTAGACCATACACATAACACAGTAACCAAGGCATGCAAGAAATTGTCTCATAAATAGTATTTTTTTGTACAGGGGGAAAGTTCTGTTGCTTCTGGAGGAATAAACAAAATACATATTAAGGTTGAGTTTGGTCTGTGAGATTGAACAGGACACTAAAAATAATCTTTGTCAAAACCAAATTCCTGTGCTCTGCTTAAATGTAAGTCAGTAACTTTCCTTGGGTCAATTTCCATATTTGATCTTGCCTAATTGGCTCATTGCAATAAACATTGTGAGCGTCTGCAGGCTGACCTATGAATACATCTCTCCCCCCCTCCCGAATTCACGTCAGAAATTTTGACAGACGTCGCTCTCGTTGTGTACAGTTGTGACGCTTGGCAGATACAAGCTGACCAGAGCGTTTATCTACTAGCCCCTGAAGAAACTGAAGAAGTGGCAGGTACTCTCTTGCCACGGTCATAATTCAGATGGAAACATACGGGAAAGATAGGGGAACCAGTCGTTGGAAATTCCTAGCATGTGTTGGATAAAGTTCACAGCATTGCCTGAGGAATTTGCTATTTTTTCTCTACTTATCTGTCAATCAGATTTTCTAAGCTTTTTTTTTTCTGTTACCTGAAATTCCTTCTGTTCCAATCTGAGGTCATTCCTTGTGTTTGTTATTGTTCCAAGTTGAGGCATGCTAATGATTAAACTTGAAGTCTTAGAACTCTCCAGGGAGGGAGGAAATGGCCAGTAAACTTACACATCTCATTCATTTGAAGCGAAGGGGCTTCAGTTGGCCAGTTTCTCTTGAGGTTTTGAAAAATCGGCCTCACTCCAACTTGGTGAGCAAAGAAGCTATTAGCTCAAATTTTGTTGGACATGTGCAGTAAATTCCTACCTCTTAATCTGACAACATAATCAGCTCCTGCAGAAATCCCACCGGCAAATTTCTGTACGAACATCTTTCTATTAGAGACATATGTGTACATGTATACAATACATGCCCTGTACGTTTTAATGCATTTGAGCATTAACTTTCTCAGTTGATGTACCAGAGATTCAACTTATATTCTTTCACTACTTAGTCCAACCAACTGTTACAGGTCTTGGTCATTTTTTTCTCAACTTTTGAAAGAAAATGGAGATGAGAAATATGTTGTTTTTTTCTTGTATAGTTTTTCGAGATTTCATGCAGTGTACAAATAATGGCATGAAAAGTATGTGGCAAAAAACAATGAAAACTCAACCAGCATTTCCTATTTGAAACAAAAACTTACCATGTGGTAGTCATTTAGCCTTGGTCGTTCAAATTCATCCTGGCTGAAATGCACTTTGAAGGTCATCAAAACTAATGGCGACAATTGCATACAAATGGCATATTTATAATTGATCACAGCAAGTCTAGATTGATCTCAACGAGGCTTTGGTCACCTTCAGAGTACACTTCTGTTTTGTTTACAGGTCATGCAGTGCAGCCAAAATTATTTTCAAATCAGCTTCCTTCTTTTTTGGGGGGGGATGCCAAAACATTTAGAATCTGGGCAAAATTTAAAAGGATCCATCTGTAGCTCATTCATGTGCAAGAATTGTTTTCAGTCTTTAGACTTTACCTTTTATACCCTTCTCTCCCTCCCTCCCCATCAGGAAAGTATTTGTTACATTCCCCGATGTTTGTTCATATCCTAATCCTTAGAACCAGATTCTAGATTTAAACACCCCTACCCCCTGACTGTAGAGCAAATATTTCATGGGATTTTTTTTGGGGGGGGTGTTGCACATGGACACAATTGCATTGTACTTTGGGTTTGGTTACGCCAGTACCTCCCACTATTGACTTGCTGTTTGTGGGACCGCTTCACAAATATTGCCTCGCGCGATCTCTCGCAGACTCATTTGAGAGTGCAGACGCAACTCACAGGGGGAGAAAAATGAGAACGTAATAATGCCGGCTCCAGAGCGGATGCCGCTTTCAACTTGTACATTTTTTTCCCCTTTAAAACAGCATGACTCATCCCCAGTGGAGTTGCCATTGAAAATGTACATATTTCTGGGTTGTACTATTATTATCATTTGTACAACCTGAGTCAGAGCCCAGATGGAGGCATAATCCAAGCCGATGGGGATGTCGGTTGTTACACGGTGACCTCAAAATGCACACAGATGGCTTCATAAGTACTGACATGTTACACATGCATCCCTGTTGATCCAAAAGAGAAAGTGGGGGGGGAATATTAACGTCTGTCTGCCAGAGATCTCATTAGTTAATTCGGTTACTCATTTTGACTCCTGAAATCTCATGAGTAAAAAAAAACAGTTCCAACAGTCATTGATTCTAAGCAGTCGGAATGACTGTTCCTTGAAATCTATTTGAAAATTTAATTGACAGAAAAGTACCTACCAGTACAACCGCACTTCAGCAAATGTACGTGTACATGTGTGCACTTCAGTATGACCTCTGGAAGTCTTGACCCAATTGAAGCTTCATTTGCCTTGATGTTCCTTTTTCCGTCTGATTAAATGAGAGGCAATTTGAGACAACCAACACAAGCCATGTAAGCCCCGAATCATTTCAATTTTTTTTGTCTTATAATAATGGACCTTAAACTCCTAACAAGAGCCGGCAATTAAATGTACCTGTATTTGGCACAAAGGTGTCATTCGAAATTTTAAACTTTTCATTCAACCTCGACTAAGGGTAACAGTTTTTCATTGGAGTCCTCGTGCAAAAGTCGACAATGAGTACACATTTAACGATTGTGTCACTCCAAAGGTATGCTGCTGCAAAATAAATATGTGACTTTAATTCCATATTCACTGCAGCGGTCGAGAATGAAACCCAACCCCAGCCTCTGCAGGTACATGAAAAACAAACAAGGAGAAAGAAAAAACAGTGGGCAATTGACCCCCCCTCTTAAGAAAATGATTTGTGTGGTTTGATGAGTGTGTGAGCTGGCCAGGTTTTGAGAGACCCATGACGGATGGAGATTCCGAGGATTGATGACCTTTCAAATTGTTGAGCGTGTCTTTCTGTCCATCCCTGGCTCAGGATATGCTGGTTGGTGCATCATAAAGTAGTAGGCATTATTGAGAAAGTTGAAGTTGTTGACATTCCTCATCATCTGCCTGTTAGTTGATTTGCCGTGCCTGAGCCAATCAGAGAGGAAAGATGTCTCAATTTTATCAAATACATGTATGATATATTATTTCCCCTATTCAATGCAGACTTAAAGGCTAAGTTTGGGCGGCGTGTTCCCGTATGTTCACGAACAGCTCGATTTGTTGTTAGTGGGTCGGCCGTTCGAACGCCGGGAACAAACAACCGGTTATTACAAGCAACATGCAACATGGCGGCGTCCATGTACGTTATTCGAAAGTTAAGGTTTGGATGGGCTGAATTCTTTTCTATATAAACAGGAACATTCATTTCTGTGTTTCGGAAAATAATTAATGTTAATTTTGCAAAACTTCCTATTGTCTATATGGTCTATGGCTTTGGAAGCCATCTCTCTACTTTTTGCAGCTGTTCAAAAATAAAAAATCTCACGAGTTTTTCCTTGTGTTCCTGTTAAACCCTGACGAGGAGGTGGTGTGTGATCCTGTTCCGAGAACAGTGTTCTTGAGTCGTGTTCCCACCGTTCGAGCGCGAGAACAAGAAACCCGCGTCAAGAACGGGCCACCCGAACTTGACCAAAGGGACCACACAAAACATGAAATTGTACCTTTGTGTTTCTCTTTAACCTTATTTTCAATTTCAGCTGCTGAATATTGGCTGTTATTAAAACTATGGAATGGAATTAATAAAGGAGACTACCAACATGTGGGGCTCAAACTACGATTCACCAACACCACCGTAATTGTGTGGTGGTTGATTTCAGCGATGGACTGGTCAAAATACGAATCACTTCAAGCCACAGTGCTGAACTTTTTATTTGCCATGAGGGTCATTTATGACGTGTTACCCCATGCTCTTAATACGGTCAGCGATGTCACCAAATGTTGCACAGATTGCTAAAGACAAGAAATCCCATTGAAGTGTCTGGGGTTTGAAATTCGAGTCGACATTGTACTGTACATGTACCACCACCAGTAGCTGGAGGACTTGGACCCAGGGATTAGCTTCTGTTTCTGATTGGGCTGAATGTACCCATCATTCCAAAGTACAAAGTGCCTCCCCTTAGGCATTCTCTCCTGGGGCATGTACCCCCCACAATAAAGTTCTTTTTTTTTTTCCTGCTTAAATAAAAGTGCAAAGCACACCAAATTATTGTTATTTTGTTTCTCAGAAAGGCAACTGAAAACAAACTTCCCCGTTTCACCTCCTGTCCTGTCCTCTCCCCTCTGCTCTTTAATTGTGGCTGGGGGATTTTACGGTCGGCTGGACAACTCTTATGGTGGTCATAATCGAGCGGAGCCTAGTTTTTCCCCCCCATGCTCGTTGGACCGTTTCTTCGTCTGTTCTTGTTGCGGTTTGAGATTAACCCTCAATGGGCAAAGTGGATTTCCGGTGAGGTCTGAATGAAGGGGAGTCCGGTTGGGTGAGGAAGTGTGTGTTTTTTAAAACAGATTTCTTTCTTCGAGTGTGAATGCGAGAAGTAGGGATTTGTCATTTCTTTCTCTGTCTTTTTCTTTTTTTCTTTCTTTCCCCCTTGTCCTTCTCACACCTGTAAAAACATTTTTGTGTTGACATTCGACTCAGCCTTATGCCAACATGTAGACGCTGGAATACTGGACGCACTTTCTGTGTAATTAATTGAAATGCGTGTGTGAACTTTTTTTCAAAATAAGAAAGTTTTCTCCTGAATTACAAAGATAACC